GGAAGTAGAGGGAACATCATCAATAGAAGCATCATCATCAGGTGCAGCAGCAGGTGCAAGGAGGTCCGCATCAAGGGCCAGAGAAGGTACTTCAGGTGCAGGAAGATTACTTGTCGAAGGCAGAGTAGGCAGGGAGGTGACAGGTTGAGGAGGCAGTTGAGAAGATGCAGAACCACTGGAGGGAGGAGGAAAAGTAGCAGCCGGGCGTTGAGTGGCAATGTTGGCGGAAAGGACGTCACCGTCGATGGAACTGTCGGGCGGCAGGTCCCGGGAAAGTTGACTAGGAAGCGGAGGACAGGATGGGTCCCCACGATGTCTTCTGCGTTGTCTAGGCAGGTGGCGCACAGGAGGCAGTCCAGAAGAGTGCTGAGCACGGATCCTATCTCTTTTATGAAGAGCTTCGTGGTTGAGGAAACCACCACGAGTGGGACAGGAGAAGCTGCAGGAACGGCACTTCCATCTGAAGGTCCTACCAGAAGCAGCGACAGGACCGGTAAGGCGTAGGCACTCATGGCGGGACGGTCTGTCAGGGAGGGTGACCGAGCAAAGACCACACCATCTTGTAGTATGATTAACGCAGATGTTATGGGCAACACGGAGGTGTCGAAGAAGAGAGTGACGAGTCTGTGTCCAAGCATTCGAGACGAAGACCTTGTTGCAATCACTCTCAGTGCACTTAAGTGCATCCGAAACAGGAAACACCAGGTGTAATACATCATCGATCCGGATGGTGACGTCAGGACCACGGACCAGGCAGGGAGACACATCAGGAGGACCATGAGGAACGGTGGTGAAATCAGCAGCAGATCCAGTGAAGGTGGAGGCGACTTCGTCAGGAGAACAGGGCGGTGTACGAGCAAGGTCACTAGTAGAGGAGGCAACAGGAGTCAGGAATGGAGCAGAGCACTGGACAGAAGTGGAACCAAGCAAACTGGATGACGGGGGCACCCCAGAGGCGGCGGGGACAGCATCAGTAGCAGGAGCAGGCGGCAGGTGTGGAAGGTCAGCATCTGCAGTGAGTGAATCCACAGATGTGGGGAGTGCCATGAGGGATACAGAAGGTTCCATAAAGTCTGGAGCAGAAGGAGGTCCAATAGAAGGTGGGTCCAGTCCAACTGGTGAGGAGGAGATGTGAGCAGCGCTTTGACAAGCAGGTGAAGAAGTAGTGGGCACAGTGCATATTGCAGCGCTGGTGTTGGAACAAATCTCCGGTTGACTGAAAACAGCACAGGGAGGTGAAGAAACAGCATCCACACAAGAGCTTGAAGACGATGTCATCCGAGTCGATGAACAGACATGACCAGCTGCGGCACCAGAGCGAGTGTGGTGACAGACAGGTGATGGATCATGAAGGAATGATGCATCAGCGTCAGAAGGTGGTAGCAAACGACGTTGTGTCTACGGAGGTGTTTCTTTAGTCGCCTCTGCTGTGTGAAGCTCCTCTCACAAATATGACATGGGAAAGAGGTCTGACGCAACGTAGGACCAGACGTCAGCATACTGTGGTCATCCTTCAGGCAGTCGCTAGTGGAGGCCAAAGGAGGCGAGGCGTCAATCACGGCATTAGAGGAGGGGCAGGCAGCGTAGATCCAGTGTAGGACTTGACTGGTGAGGGCGACCTAGCAGTAACCTTCAGAAGCAGCTGGCGCAGGTGGCCACTTCGAAGCAATGGTGGTCCAGATGGAGTAACGGATGCCTCGGAGACACTGAGCAGACAGTACCAGCGGGAGGCGTGGCAGCAGACGCAAGAAAGTGGCCAGTAGAGGAAGGCGACGAAGTGGTAGGTCGAGAAGGGGACTTCCACAGGGCATACTCCACTACGGGCAGCGGCAGAGACGTAACAGGCATCGGAGGAAGACCAGGAGTAGTAGGCGATCGAATCCGAGGAGGCCTCTCAGGCACTGGAAGGCTCTGTGATGACATATCTGCAGCAAGATAATACAAAACAAAAACAAAAACAAAGCATGAAGAAATAAAGTATGGCTTCGGACTGGCAAGATCAAGGCGGCACCGAGGAGCAAGAGCATCCAACGAAACCGAAAGTGAACAAAAAAAAAAAGGGGGAGAAGAGAGTTTAACGGATAGCAGAAGAAGCAATGAGGAAAAGAGGTGAGAAGAGAAAGACTCAACCCACCAAAATAGGTGGGAAAGTAGAAACGGAAAAGAAATGAGAGCTCGACGTATGCAAGGATACACTACAAAAGTGCTCAGTGCTACGCAAAGCAAGAGAGTACAGAAAAGAAGCCTTCTCTACACTAAAGCGAGCTGTAACACAGTCGCTATTAGCAAAAGGAAGGCAGAAACAGAAGGGCCCCGCCCACCACTCAGACAAACCGAATTGCGGTAAGTCCAGCAGTAACGGAAACAGCAAAAAAAAAACCTGCACGCTCACAGGGGGGATAGGAAAGGGTTCTGTTGAAAAGTAAAGAACGTATTCGAACCATCAAGCGTCAACAGGAAGAAGAGAAAAAGCAAAACTTACCCCCCCCTCCGCCAAGCGAGGTTTCTACTCCAGCATATCCACCACTGTATAGTTACGTGGGCAATTAAGCTGATAAGAACAGAAAATTTTTTATTGTTCAAATGTTTCTTGCCATTTTACATAGTGTTGGTAAGACCATGGCATGCTATATACCAACAACGCACACAGTGCGATTTTAGATTTCATATTTATTTGTTGTGGGAGATATTTACATATTTACAATATTTACAAAATTTGCATAACTGTGAAAGTCCTTTATACAAATGTTATCCCATGACCGCATCCTGACAAGCTGTCACTGAGTCCAACAGTGCCTAATTAGGACTGTTTTACCCCAGTGAGGTGCTCAACATACACGTCCCTAGAAAATTTAATAGTTTCGCTAACTGCGAGTTTCTTCAAAAGGTTTCCGTATTTGTTGCTGCACAGCCTGCGTAGCACTCTATCGTTCTTGTCGTCCCAAGAGCCGAGAGAACCAATGATGATGGGATGAATCTGAACATCGGTGTAGTCTTTCCTGAGCAGCTCAGCAACCGGACGGTACTTGGAAATCTTCTCCTCTCTGGCGGAAGAAAAAGCAGCAAGCCTATTCTCGAACGGGATGGTGACGTCGATTACCAGAGCGGAGGAGCCTTTGCGAAGAACCAGATCGGGGCGGAGAGAAGTACCAGGGAAGACTTGGTTGCAGAAGAGCACATCCCAGCGCCCACTCGCGGCCTTCTTCAGCCGTTCAACCACAGCATTGTGACGTCCGTTGGAAAATGGAAGAATAACGCATACAGTGGTTGAGGACATGTGGGAGCGTTTCTTCACTGAAATTGCAACGGCGACATCCACGGCGTGAACGGTCCCAGGGCTTGCAGGCATTGAGAGGTACCAGGTTCAGCCTGGCACGGTGAACAAATCTCCAGTCCGCGAAGCGCGTGAAGGACCCCTCTCTGAAGAAGTGCGAGCTCGAGCGCGAGACGGCAACACATTCCATGGCCTTACCCTGGTTCGGGAGGAGGGACAGGTCACTAATACGGGTAGCCCGTCTTAGGGTCCGGAAAGCCCGGAAGATGGTGTGCTTCTGGCTCGGGAAGATGGTGTTAGGACCACAGGAAATAGAGGGAGACCCACCAGCATCGATAGTCCAAACAATCTTGAGGCGCCGAGATGCGGACCTTGCGGCAGACCACTACGTAGAGGAGATGGAATTGCAAGAGGCGGCAAAGGGAGCCTCGTCCGGATGCAGACAGGAACTGTGCCACTAACTCAGGAGAAGGAGCGAATCCGATGCGTGCACGGACGAAGGAGGTCAGATCATCCCAGGCGGAAGCACGAACAACAAAGGGATCTCTAGCGCAGAGCAGCTTGAAAGGCAGAGTCGACGGCAGCGATGTCTGAATCCTCCGCAGCGAGTGGAATGCCAAGGGCACCTTTGCCGGAAAGGCCATAAAGATAATTGTTAGATGCCTCGGGAGGAAGATTCAGGGTCTTCTTGAGGGCAGGACGCAGAAAATCGTCAATCTTCTTCCAGTCTCCCTTAGCGTGCTGCGAAGTCCTCATGAAGAAGAGGAGAGAGGGAAAAAAGAAAGTCTTCATTGCATCCAGGCGTTGCCACGGAGCGAGCTTCGAGTCCATAATCTTCTTAGCCAGGATCAAGAAATCACGTAGCTGCGCACGGAGAGGTGGAAGGTGGAAGCCCACGGGTTTCCCGAGGAAACGGAAGTGATCACCATCACCAAGGGCGTGGATAGGGATGCCATCCAGGTAGAAGACGGTCGGACGCACTCTAGCAGGGCGAGAAGCATCAAGGTGAAGTGTGTGGCATTTACCGGGATTAAGCTGAAGACCAAGACGAGAGAAGACGTCAGAAATGCGATCCAGGTCATCCTGAAGAACGTTGGGAGAAGGAGCGAGCAGGAGGACGTCATCGGCGAAGGCGAGGACACGAGGCGAGGAAGGAGAAGAGCCAACAGAGCGGAGAACAGGATCAATGGCCAGGTTAAACAGGAGGCCGCTCAAGGGACACCCCTGACGAACACCGGCATTGATGTCTACACAGGGCCAGAAACACCGTCGGAAGAGAGGAAGCAGGTAGAGGAATTCCTGTAGAGGTCTTGGATTAAGGAGACGAAGTCCTCCCCGACACCAGACGTGAGTAGTGCAGTGAAGATCGCAGAGTGCGGGACCGAGCCGAAGGCGTTGGCAATGTCGAGAGAGGCCAGACAGAGCTCAGACTTCGTCCTACGGGCAAGCTGGAACCGCTGCTGGACGATGAAGTTGTGCTCAAGAACCCCATCGTGCGGCATGAATCCTTTCTGTGAGGGGTGGAGAATCTCGTTGTCACATAACCAGTGCGTGAGACGTTTCGCTAGACATCCAGAGAAAAGGCGAGCAATTGAAGAACTGAGGGCAATTGGCCTCCAGTTGTCAATCACCGACGGGTCCCCTTTCTTGAAGATGAGGAACGAACGGGAAGATTTCCATGAGGACGGAACACGCCGGAAGCGAAGACAGATGTTGAATATCTCACTCAAGATCTTGCAGTCTGGATCAGCCTCTCGCCAGTGGGCATACGAGAGGCGGTCAGGGCCGGGCGCAGAGTTCTCACAGGAGCGAAGCTTGGCAAGAACCTCGGCAGGAGAGAAAGGAGACAAATCGAGAGGAGGACGTTCCGGGATACAGGTAGTGAAGATAGATGAGTCAAGTCTCTGGCGGAGTACCTTGAGGAGAATTCGAGGGCGATCTCTTCTGCAGGAATGGAGCAAGGAGGAGAGCTGTCAGAGGAAAGGAGACGGATGGCTCTGCGACGATTTCTCCGGTATAAACGTTGAATGACCCGAGGATTAGAGGTGTTGACCGGGCGCGGAGAACCAGGCACAGGAGGAGAAGGAGGAGGGAGCTTGACAATTTCTGAGGCAGACTCCGTGACGTTCAGAAGGCAGGCCTCAAAGGAGTCCCAAGCATCATCGTCAGTAGTCCCAGAAAAAAAGCTATGCAGGGAATCCCAGAAGTTCAGGAGAGGAGGCTCTGTGACCGGAATTTCGTCTGCAGGAGGAATACGAGCAGGGTCATCAGCGGCCACAACGGGGACAACCTCATGAAGGTCGACATCAGGAAACTCGGAAGTGGGGAAGACGGCAGAAGATTGTGTGTCATCAGCAGGTGACGAAGAGGAGGGAGGAGATGCAGAGACGAGGCAATCAGGGGGAACAACAGCACGGGAGGAGGAGGCAGCAGGTGAGGCAGAAGTCGACACAGGAGCAGGATGAGCGGCCGAAGAGGGATGAAGAAGCCCTGAACGAGGAGCATCAGGAGTAGCCCTGGAGACGTCGGGAGGAGAAGGTGGCAGCGAGTGAGAGGCCGATACAGCGGGAGACGAATCGGAAGAGCAAGGAGATGGGACTGGAGCAGGTGAAGAAGGAGCGTCCAAAGAAGTCACAGGAGGAGCTGGAGCGGACGTAGCCGGAGATCTGGAGGACACGTCAGCGGGTGAAGAAGAGGCACCAGGTGGAGGGTGCGGCTGTCTACGGCGCTGTCGCTGAGGCACAGGAGCAGGAAGATGAATGTTGTGGTCAATAGAAGAGTTCCTCTCAGCACGCCGGTGGAATTCGGAGTGGTTGAATAACCCTTTCCGGGAAGGACACGAGAACGGACAAACTGTACACTTCCAGCGGAAAGAGGCACCAGTGGAGATGACGGGAGGCGAGGTGCGGAAACAGGCATGGACAGAAACCTTGTTGGCAAGCCGGGAGTTGCAAAGGCTGCACCATTTCATGCATGAAGAAATGGGGGTCAGATGTTCCTGGAGAAGGTGTCTGGTGAGGGATCTCTTCATGCAGGACCAGGAGTTGGAGCGGAACAGGAGGCTGCAATTGGGCTCTGTGCACGTGAAGACATCGCTTACAGGAAAGACGAGATGGAGCGTGGTACCCTCGCGGCACGTAGTAGAAGGAATAGGAGCGCCTGAAGATGGAGCATTGGAAGGAGGCGGTGAGGCTTGAAGAGAAGTAGACGGGAGCTGCGGATGGCCAGTGGAAGAGAAGTCAGCAGCACCAGGAGAGGAGGGAGGAGGAGCAAGGCGATGACGGCGGAAGCGGTGAAAGCATAGCTGTCTCTTGTTGAGGAACGACTTACCACACGTCGGACAGTCAACCGGAGAAGAGCAAGTGGAGACACCAGGAGACGCGGGCACAGCAGCAATAGGAGAAATACCAGAATCCGGGCGTGAAGGAGACCCCCGCCTAGAAGCAGATTCGTCGGAAAGCAGGAGAGACGCTCTGTCGCCAGAAGTTGCAGGAGCAGGAACAGGAGAGGAGGAAGCACTAGGAGTTTCATCAGCAGAGATCGCAGAGGACGGCGAACGAACTGTAGGACTACCCGAAGGAGAAGTAGATGTGGCAGATCGAGCAACCAGCGTGTCAGCAGCAACAGGAGACTTGGTCGGAGAAGTGTGCGAGCAGGAGTGTCCAGCAGCAGCACGTGATCTTGTGTGGTGACACACTGGGGAATCTGAAGAAGGGGCACTGGTAGCAGGGATGGAGCCAGGAGAAGGTAAGGATGGAGCCGAAGTAAGAGGCACGAGCGGTGCAGTGAGCGTTTCCGAAGGAGGCGAAGTCCGGGAGCGGGAAGCGAAGACATCATTGCAGATGCGAGAGGAGGCAGACGTCCTGGCAGAGATGATGGAGAGCATCTGGCACAGGGAACCACTTCTCAGCAGAGGAGGACCAGAGGGAACAGCAGCGGCAGAGATGTGGCGACGTGGAGCAGGAGCAGGGTGAAGACTACCAGACCGCGTTGTCATCACGGAGGAGTGACCAGAAGCGGGCAAATGGCTCAGAGGTCTGCGTGGCGTCGTGTCCAGCGATCCATCGGGGCATCCAGCACTCTGTGGCAGTCCACCAAGGACAGATGGCATCGGAGGGAGACCAGGAGTAGTCGGAGAAGGAAGGCGAGGCGGCCTCTCTGGCAAAATGATCTGATGCGCTGACGCAGGATCAGACATAGCTGAAAAAACTAAAGAAACAGTAACACAAATAACCAGCAAATTATCCAATTGGCAAGATCAAAGTGAGGCAGCGGGGGGAGCTTCAATTGGAGCTTTTGGTGGACCCAAGAAAGGAAGATAAGAACGAGGAAAAGAAAAGGAGGGAAGAGCAAAAGAAGAAGGAAAACGAGGGAAAGAGCAAAAGAAGAAGAGAGTAAAGTCGAAGCCACGCCCACCCGGACGAGTGAGGGAGCGGAAAGGAAATTTCAGGGCTTATCAAAACAGAAAAGACACCGTAAACGGAGTATTTCTGAAATGAAAAGCGAGAAGACATAGAAAAGAAACCATTTCTCACTAGGGACGACTGAAAAACAGCCGAAGCAGTAAGAAAGGAGAAGAAAAAGTTAGGCCCCGCCCAGCACCGAAATATACTGCAAGCAGTATAATCAGTGTGTAGACGGGAAAGAAAGAACCTGCTCGCTCACAGGCAACCTGCACGCTCACAGGTGAAAGGGCCCCATTGAACGCAAGTAAAGAACGTATTCGAACCATCAAGCGTCAATGGGAGAGAGGAGAGAGAGAAAGAAAAGCAAAACTTACGTAGGATCCACCTCGACTCCGCTTTCAGCTCCGTCCACCAGACGAGTAAACTATTCCATCAGCATGTCTGGAAATCTGAAAAAAGAACAAAATAAGACGTCAGATTAAGCTGATAAGAACAGATACTACACTTTGATCTTAGCCAAAAGGCCGAGAAGCGATGCAGAATTCTGTGGCGTGATGAATTCACTTTCAATTTTTCATATTTCAAAAGTCCTGAGCATTCGTGCAGGGGAGAAGGGGGTGCAGAAGACTCAGGTTAGCGAGTGCTGCTTGGGGGCTTTTTATGATATGTCGTTATTTCATCCTCCTCCTGTGTTACAAAAAAAGAGGTGTACAAGGATGACCAATTTCTGTCTAGTCAAGTGGATCATTTTGCGGTCCTTTCTAATGTTCCCATTCTGGAGGCGTCAGTCCCCTCCTCCTTGGGCGGGGCTAGTTTTAAAAAGCCAAGGACGTCAAAAGTTCATTTCATTCAAGATTCAATTGCAAATTTTATTCTTACTACAGCAAATGAACCACAATGCTGAAATATCCTCACAGATATTTCTACAATATCGCAATAACTTACAGTAGTTATATTGGACGTTTTACGGAAACGTTGGCCGGAACAAAATTCAAAGTAGAAAAAGTTAATCCGATCTCAACGCGAAATCGCTACAGTCAATAACAGCAGTAAGTAAACAACTGAATTCCGGTGTTTTCCTCCAGCTTTTATAAGCTTATGCACCATGCAACATAATATTCTCGTATTTTCTCAATTTTTTTTCAGATGGGAAAAGAGGACAATGAAATATTCATGAAAGTGTTCATTTCTCTGGAGTAGCTTCCTCCTCCGAAAAATCTCATTCTTCACTGCAGGTGAATATAAAACAAATGTAATTACAAAGGCAATAAAAATAGCAAAACCAAAAATAAATAAATAAATATTCCTGGAGTTATCGAATGCCCATGCTTGGGAAGAAATTATTTTTTGTGATTAAACAAATATTGAGACAGTAAAATTTATCAGCCAAAACTGCATTACATAATGCCAGAGTTTGATTGACACAAACTCGACATGCACAGTCCAGCACATGGTTTCCAACTCAGAGATACTCTCTCTCTCTCTTCAGTTCAAACGTTGCACTTGAAAACACAGAGTGAAATATTAGGAACTTAAAACAATTAAACAAACAGAAAAATTACAAAAAACACTTTACAAATTCATTTGTAATATGTACAATAAAACAGTACTTTTTAATTTACAATTAATGATTACTTTGTATTCTACACTTCCACACTAGTGGCGGGCAAGCCATCTCAAAACTCAGAATAAACTGCTTCCTGCATAGTGCAGCCATCTATTGGCATTTTCCCGTTTGTTAATATTAATGTGCCAACAAAATAAATGAATGAATGAAAAACATAAATACAACAATCCTTAACAATAATTGTAGACCATTACAATTAGCTGGCGTTTAGAAATCATACAGAGAATCAAAACAAAACATTAGGAAACAGACAGAAAAATCTTTGTTGCTGCAGTGTGCCTACAAACATTTTACACCCTTTTGAGAGTTATTTACAATAAAAAGGCTCGTGTGTTTGAAAGAAGCAATGTGTATACGCGCGCTGTTGTAGTGGGAAAGATCTGGCAAATGTGAATAGGAATTCTCTCAAACTTACATGAAATGAGACAAAAATGTTACTGCAAATGAAATTTGAGTGATATTTCGAGGCCGATCTTCCTTCAATCAGTCAGACAGAATGAGTAAGTTGTTAACAGTACGGGGAAAAAATGTGGATTTTATGGGATTTCTGTAAATACGAATAAAACTTCGTATTTACAGAAACCAGAACTTGACACTGAAAAGAACGAGGGTTAAACCCGAGGCTCCAGAATGTTCCCATTCCGAGGAAAAGAACGAGGGGCCCGAGCAATAGCAAGTTAAAAAAAAGGCAGGTCGCCGCACACTCGTACAAAGGTATGATGTTGTCAGACCTTCGGTTTTCTGAAATTTGAAGGGGCCATTTTAAAAGGACGTTTTCCTGAGGATGCAGTGGGTGAGTGAAGTTTCTGCTTTTTGGATATATTGTGGGCCGTATCCTGCAAGTAGTGCCATAGCAGGCCAACCCGTGGCGAGGGCGGAATAAATTCCTAACCACAAGCCTATCTGCAAAAATTAGTTTAATATCTTGACGTCATGTCGACGTCGTATCAGATATTAAGCTGATAAGAACAGAAAAATTTTTATTTAAAGCATGTTCAATGCCACTTACATATGACATATCCGTGGCGAATGTATCAGTAGCGCACGCAGTGCGACTTTTCCACACCTTACGTGGGAGACTATTTCTGGAAAATTATTTACAAGTTATATTACAAAAATATTTACAAGAATTATTTACAATTATTTTACAGTAGTTTTGTACAGTTCATGTCATAAGGTGGCCTTTGCGTTGTTACTCGTCCGAGTCCATACTGGTTTTTTGTTTATTGTCTTTCACCGGTAATGTGTTCTACGTAGATGTCGCGAGAAGTCCTTATCGTATCACTGACTATCAGCTTCTTCATTAACTTTGCGTATTTTTTCGAGCATAGTCTTCTTATAATTCTGTCGTTTTTTGGGTCCCAGGCGCCCAGTGCGCCGACCACGAATCGCCTCTACACGAACGTCCGCGAAGTTGGCGCGTAAGGTGTTGGCAGCCGCGGCGTACTTCTCTTCTTTTTCACGACGAGCAGCTTCGAAAGCTTGTAGACGGTTGTCAAAGGGAATGGTGACGTCTAAGATAACGGCAGCGTTATCTTTTGTAAGGACGAGGTCAGGTCTAACCTCAAGGCCGGGAATTAGTTGGTTCTCACGTTCAATGCTCCACCGGCCTTGTGCAGCCTTCTTGATGCGCTCGACCACTGCGTTGTGCCTCTGCTGGTAAAGTCGGCTGTAGCGCATGCAGTGGTCGAGGACGTGTGGTAGTGTCTCGAGGGCGTATGGACATCGTCTGCATCCTCTGGATCTCGGCGACGAGCGCTTGTTGGCATTCAGAGGGACAAGGTTCAGCCTGGCCTTGTGTATAAACCGCCAGTCGGCGAACCGCGTGTAAAGTCTCCGTTGTGGAAGAAGTGTGAGCTGGCGCGGTCGGCTGCGGCACATTCCACTGCCTTTCCTTGGCTTGGGTAGCTGATGAGTTTTTCAGCTCGAAGTTTGCGCATGTGCGGAATAGCAGGTGCCGTTTTCTGGGGCTGATGGAGGAGTCACCAATGTCAATCGATATTCTTCTTTCGCCTTCAATAGTCCACTTAACACCAAGTCGGCGAGAGGCGGAGCGGGCACATGACCAGATCGAAGACATGTTGTTACTTGATCCACTAAAAGGTCCATCGTCGGAAGCAGAAAGGAACTTGACGATGAGATCTGTGGTAGGTGGTATGCGCGTTCTCCTGAAGACGAAGTCCTCAAGGTCCGTCCAGGCAAGTTCCTTTACACAGTCATCCCGGGATGTCAGCAGCTTGAAGGCGCCATCGATCCGGGCAATGTCTGCATCTTCAGCTGCGATCGGGATCCCGATGGCATGCTGCATCAACCGCACCATAGAGGTATTCATTGGCGGCTTCCGGTGGTAGGTTGAGTGTTCTTTTCAGAAGAGGCTTGGCGAAGTCATCTAGTTTGGCCCATTCACCTTTCTTGTGGCGTAGCATACGCATGTCAAAAGACAGGGACGGGTAGAAGAAGGCCTTCAATGCGTCGATGCGCTGCCATGGTGCCAGGTTGGACTGCATGATCTTGTTGCACATTTCAATATAACCGGCTATCGAGGCGTTGTCTGGTGGAGGTTGAAAGCCCACTGGTCGTCCAAGGAACCGTCCGGTGTCTTCGTCTGCCAGGTGCCTGATAGGGGTGCCATCGACATAGAAGATGGTCGGTCGTGCACCAATCGGTTGAGCTCCTGAGAGGTGGAGGGTGTAGCACTTTGCAGCGTTGAAAGAAAGGGATAGTTTTCTTGCCAGCGATGTCAGGTGGTCAATGTGCGACTGGAGCTCCAACGGTGTGGGTGCCAACAGGAGAATGTCGTCAGCGTACGCTAGAACCCGGTGTTCTGGGTGGGATGATTGTACTTGCCGAATGACCGGGTCGATAGCAATGTTGAAGAGTATTCCGCTAAGTGGGCAGCCTTGTCGGACACCTCTTGTGATCGGAATAGGATCAGTAGTACCGTCAAGGCACAGGAACTGCGTGGTGGCATCATTGTATAGAGAACGGATAACCCGGAGGATGGAGGTACCCGCGCCAAGGATCGAGAGGGCACGGAATATCGCATCGTGGGGTATTGATCCAAATGCATTGGAACAGTCCAAGGAGGCAATGCACAAGTCTTTTTGTTCCTGCGTGCATGGCGTAGTCTCTGTTCCAGGAGGAAGTTGTGCTTCAAACACCCCATCATACGGGAGGAATCCCTTCTGAGAGGGGCAGAGCACGTCGTTCTCTATCAACCAGCTAGTCAGGCGCTTTGCCACACATCCAGCAAAGAGTTTGGCGATTGTGGTGCCGAGGGAGATAGGCCTCCAGTTGTTCAGGTCAGTAGGCTCGCCTTTCTTGTAAAGCAGGATAGACGTGGAGCGTATCCATGAGTCCGGAACCCTCCCAGCTTTGAGGCACGTGTTGAAGATAGGCGTGAGGATGCTGCATTCCGGGTCAAGTGATCTCCAGTGCTTGTACGTGAGACGGTCTGGCCCTGGTGCGGTGCTCTCACAGGCATGAAGACGCGCAGAGATCTCGGTGGAGGAGAAAGGTGCCATGTCGACTTCAGGGCGGTCGGTGTCCGGTGGTACGAAGAGGTCGGGGTCAACAGTCGGCGGGCAGTCAGGTGGTGCAAAGAAGTCTGCAACGGTTTGACTGTCAAGCGCACATCTGGGGGATTCACCATCTGTGATGAGACGCACTGCTCTGCGACGATTCCGGCGGTACAACCTTTGTAAACTTTTATGGTCGGTAGCATTGGAATTCGCAGTGGTCCGGGTGGCAGTGCGTGGTGGCAGCTTGACGATGCGTTGCGCCTCTCCGATCATCTCTTCAACGGTGTCTTCAAAGCGTCTCCAGTTCCTGATGGGGTCCCCGTTCACGAGTTCGATGAAGACAGGGCGAAAGACAGCAAGTGGAGCCTCAGCGTCAATGTTGCTTTCAGGTGAGACCTCGTCAGCGGGAGCATCATCATGAACAGGATTGGCAGTGAACTGGTGCTCAGAGGGGCCGGGATCGTGTGCGATGGCGGTGTGGTCCTCGCCCACGGTATGCACATGGTTGATCAGTGGCTCAGGTGCAGTGTCTGGAACATCCATGCTAGGTGACAGTTCCGAGATGGGTGGGATGACAGGAGCCGTAGGCCTGGATCTCGTGGGTGGAGAAGGAGATGGCTCTCGATGACGGCGGCGACGGCGTCGGTGGCGGGTCTCCGGCTCGGGAATGCTGGGTGCGGTCGCACGTTGTCGCTCTCGTCGGTGTCTGGCCTGGTGGTTCAGGAGTCCACCCCTTGTCTGGCAGGAGAAGTCACACGTCTGACACTTCCATCGGTGGGAGAGGCCGGAGGGGAGCATGACAGGTTGCTCGCGGAAGCATGTGTGAAGGGCGACCCTGGAGGGCGATCCTTTCCTGGCAGTGGCTGCACCAGTTCCGTGTGCCTTCAACGTTGATGTTGTGTGCGTACCTGAGGTGGCGACATAGTGAATGACGTAGTTGAGTCCAGGCGCGCGAGTGAAAGGTACGGCTGCACTCGGCCTCGGTGCAACGGAGGGTGTCTGAGAGTGGGAACACCAGATGAACCCAGAGATCATCACGGCAGGTCGAGGCAGGGTAGAGAGGTCTGTCATCAGCAGGTGTGTCCAGGCTCGCTGGTGTGGCGGGTGCCAGGTGTTGTGCAACAGGAGTAGAATCGTCACGGGCGGAGTTGTGAACTTCGCTGGAGGACGGAGCTGGAGGCATGGCGGTGATGTCCATGGATATGTCTTCGGTCAAAGTCTCTGAGGGCGGTATGTTCACAATAAGGATGTCATCGTCACTGAGACTGGCAGTGGAAGGGGACTCGGCAGTCACTGTCGGTGGTGTCGTCAGAGGAGTAGCGTTGTGGTCTTGGGTCCGATGAGGCAATGCTGGTCCCCTCACAGGGTGGCTGGGCAGATCCTGGTCTGTTGTAGTCCGAACCGTCAGCAGGTGATGCCACTGTGGAAGGCAGTGTGGCGTCATCAGCGGGCACCGGAACGGGACCATCCTCAAGAGTGTGTCGAGTCTGGGTAGCCATAGGATCAGTGTAGGCGGGGCCAGCAGGATGATCACCCTGACAGTCCGATGTCCTGGTCTGGGATGAGGAGACAGCATCTGCATACGTACGGGCAGGCTGGGAGCTCAACGATGGACAGACGTGACTAGCAGCAACGCGGGAACGTGTGTGGTGGCAGACCGGAGAGAGGGTACTAGTCGCAGGAGTGGCCACGAGATGGGCGGGGCTCTGCAGACACGTGGGACCTGGCGTGCCTTTTCAGGCTTCTTCTGCTTGGAAATGCATGTCCGCATACGTAGCATGCGAAGGCATCAGGAGGTGGAACTGGAGAGGAGGAAGTAGTATGTGCAGGAGTCGATGAAACCTTTACCCTCGGCAACGTCGTCGGGCTAACTGCTGTAGGCGCAGGACTGGTGCCGCTTGAGGCGTTCGTCTGAATCCGATTGAGTAGAGTCCGCAGATTGCTACCCTGCGTCAGAGGTGGACCAGAGGGTGTCACGAAGACTGGCACATGTCGATGCTTGAGCAGAGATCCTGTGCGGGCGGAGCTGGAGACAACTGAAGTAGGCGATGCCATCAGTCCCTTGGTCGGCAGCGTCTAGACTGGGAGCAGTGGCGTGAGCATCCATAGAATCATCATGGGAGCTTCCGGCAGCCAGAGTGTCAACCAGGGTGACCGTAGATCCGGCGGCTATCTGGAGAAGGCGCGTCATCCGGCAGAGGAATTTTCCAGAGGGCAGAGGCAGGGATCCAGGGCTCCGGGCAGCAGGTGGGAGGGGCCATGTCAGAGTCTGGCATTCGAGGAGATCCATCCAGGACAGCCGGTGGTGGAGATCGCGACCCAGGGCTCCTCACTGCAGGCGGCGGGCGTGGCCTTGGTCGAGCTGCGAGGCGTGGCGGGGAGCTCATCCTTCACAGTGTCCGAAAAACTGAAAATAGAACAACAGGCAAGGCAGCAAAGATATGCGAAATAGCTCAGTGGCAAGATCAAAGTGAGGCAGTGGGAGGAGCTTCAATTGGAGCTTTGGTGGACCCAAGAAAGGAAGTTAAGAACGAGAAAAAGGAAAGGAGGGAAAGAGCAAAAGAAGAAGGAAACGAGGGAAAGAGCAAAAAGAAAAGGAAGGAAAGAGCAAAGTAGAAGCCACGCCCACCCGGAAGAGTGAGGCAGCGGAAAGGAAATTTCAGGGCTTATCAAAACAGAAAAGACACCGTAAACGGAGTATTTCTGAAATGAAAAGCGAGAAGAGATAGAAAAGAAACCATTTCTCACTAGAAACGACTGGAAAACAGCCGAAGCAGTAAGAAAGGAGAAGAGAAAGTTAGGCCCCGCCCAGCACCGAAATATACTGCAAGCAGTATATTCAGTGTAGACGGGAAAGAACCTGCTCGCTCACAGGCAACCTGCACGCTCACAGGTGAAAGGGCCCCATTGAACGCAAGTAAAGAACGTGTTCGAACCATCAAGCGTCAATGGGAGGGGGAGAGAGAGAGAGAAAGAAAGCAAAACTTACGTAGGGTCCACCTCGGCTCCGCTTTCAGCTCCGTCCACCAGACGAGTAAACTACTCCATCAGCATGGTCTGCACATCTAAAAAAAAAAACAAAATAAAACGTCAGATTAAGCTGATAAGAACAGATACTACACTTTGATCTTAGCCAAAAGGCCGAGAAGCGATGCAGAATTCTGTGGCGTGATGAATTCACTTTCAATTTTTCATATTTCAAAAGTCCTGAGCATTCGTGCAGGGGAGAAGGGGGTGCAGAAGACTCAGGTTAGCGAGTGCTGCTTGGGGGCTTTTTATGATATGTCGTTATTTCATCCTCCTCCTGTGTTACAAAAAAAGAGGTGTGTACAAGGATGACCAATTTCTGTCTAGTCAAGTGGATCATTTTGCGGTCCTTTCTAATGTTCCCATTCTGGAGGCGTCAGTCCCCTCCTCCTTGGGCGGGGCTAGTTTTAAAAAGCCAAGGACGTCAAAAGTTCATTTCATTCAAGATTCAATTGCAAATTTTATTCTTACTACAGCAAATGAACCACAATGCTGAAATATCCTCACAGATATTTCTACAATATCGCAATAACTTACAGTAGTTATATTGGACGTTTTACGGAAACGTTGGCCGGAACAAAATTCAAAGTAGAAAAAGTTAATCCGATCTCAACGCGAAATCGCTACAGTCAATAACAGCAGTAAGTAAACAACTGAATTCCGGTGTTTTCCTCCAGCTTTTATAAGCTTATGCACCATGCAACATAATATTCTCGTATTTTCTCAATTTTTTTTTCAGATGGGAAAAGAGGACAATGAAATATTCATGAAAGTGTTCATTTCTCTGGAGTAGCTTCCTCCTCCGAAAAATCTCATTCTTCACTGCAGGTGAATATAAAACAAATGTAATTACAAAGGCAATAAAAATAGCAAAACCAAAAATAAATAAATAAATATTCCTGGAGTTATCGAATGCCCATGCTTGGGAAGAAATTATTTTTTGTGATTAAACAAATATTGAGACAGTAAAATTTATCAGCCAAAACTGCATTACATAATGCCAGAGTTTGATTGACACAAACTCGACATGCACAGTCCAGCACATGGTTTCCAACTCAGAGATACTCTCTCTCTCTCTTCAGTTCAAACGTTGCACTTGAAAACACAGAGTGAAATATTAGGAACTTAAAACAATTAAACAAACAGAAAAATTACAAAAAACACTTTACAAATTAATTTGTAATATGTACAATAAAACAGTACTTTTTAATTTACAATTAATGATTACTTTGTATTCTACACTTCCACACTAGCGGCGGGCAAGCCATCTCAAAACTCAGAATAAACTGCTTCCTGCATAGTGCAGCCATCTATTGGCATTTTCCCGTTTGTTAATATTAATGTGCCAACAAAATAAATGAATGAATGAATAAAAACATAAATACAACAATCCTTAACAATAATTGTAGACCATTACAATTAGCTGGCGTTTAGAAATCATACAGAGAATCAAAACAAAACATTAGGAAACAGACAGAAAAATCTTTGTTGCTGCAGTGTGCCTACAAACATTTTACACCCTTTTGAGAGTTATTTACAATAAAAAGGCTCGTGTGTTGAAAGAAGCAATGTGTATACGCGCGCTGTAGTGGGAAAGATCTGGCAAATGTGAATAGGAATTCTCTCAAACTTACATGAAATGAGACAAAAATGTTACTGCAAATGAAATTTGAGTGATATTTCGAGGCCGATCTTCCTTCAATCAGTCAGACAGAATGAGTAAGTTGTTAACAGTACGGGAAAAAAAAATGTGGATTTTATGGGATTTCTGTAAATACGAATAAAACTTCGTATTTACAGAAACCAGAACTTGACATTGAAAAGAACGAACGAGGGTTAAACCCGAGGCTCCAGAATGTTCCCATTCCGAGGAAAAGAACGAGGGGCCCGAGCAATATCAAGTTAAAAAAAAGGCAGGTCGCCGCACACTCGTACAAAGGTATGATGTTGTCAGACCTTCGGTTTCTGAAATTTGAAGGGGCCATTTTAAAAGGACGTTTTCCTGAGGATGCAGTGGGGTGAGTGAAGTTTCTGCTTTTTGGATATATTGTGGGCCGTATCCTGCAAGTAGTGCCATAGCAGGCCAACCCGTGGCGAGGGCGGAATAAATTCCTAACCACAAGCCTATCTGCAAAAATTAGTTTAATATCTTGACGTCATGTCGACGTCGTATCAGATATTAAGCTGATAAGAACAGAAAAATCTTTTATTGATCAATGCTATATGCCATTTACATTTGTATTGCAATTACCGGCACAAGTAATCCAATAACGCACACAGTGCGGTTTGTTAAGTACAAATGATTTAGAAAAAAAATATAAAAAATAATAATAATTATATACAAAGTGGAGTAGATACATAAATGAGGGTAATGACTAGATTTGGAATGTCCAAGCGGGAGTAGAGTCCAGGGAGAGGAAAACTCCTGAAGATCTCACAGTGGTACACATCACTTATAGTAAAGAGTCGCGCAAAGGTGGTGGACATACTATGCGGCTTGGTTCTGTATCGTGGGTTTTGCCGTCAGGTGTTCATAGTAAATATCACGCGATATTCTAATAGTGTCGCTCACCATTAGTTTCCGCATAAGAGCTGCATATTTGTTGGAGCAGAGAATTCGAATAAGTCTGTCATTTTTGGGATCCCAGGATCCGAGGGCACCAACAATGAGAGCCTCAACGCGGACATCGTCGAAGGACTCTTTGAGGCGCTCAACCAGGGGAGCATATTTGGCTTCTTTGGCATGCCGGGCACCATCGAAGGAGGCAAGCCTGTTGTTAAAAAGGGCAGTGACATCTATAATCAGAGCAGACCTGTCCTTAGTGAGAAGAAGGTCGGGCCGCAAGTTGAGCTCGCATATGGAGCGGTTATCTGCTTCGATATTCCATCTGCCACTGGCTGCTTTCTTCAGGCGCTCGACGATGTTATTGTGGCGCTCCTGGAAGGAGCGACTGTAGCGCATACAGTGGCATAGGACATGAGGCAATGTCTCAGAGTTGTACGAGCAGCGGCGACAGCCAGTTTGGCCCCGGAAGCGGCGGCGGACAGCATTAAGGGCACCAGATTTAGGCGTGCCCGATGGATAAAACGCCAGTCGGAGAAGCGGGTATACTGGCCATCTTTGTGGAAGTGGCAACTTGCTTTGGCAGCGGCCGCACACTCGATAGCTTTTCCCTGGTTGGGGTAGGTGGCAAGTTTGGCAGCACGCTTGGAGCGGAAGTAACTTCGGAGGGACCGGAACACAAGGTGCCGTTGCTTACAGTCTAAGCACGAGTCGCCGAAGAGAAGCGAGAGGGTGCCATCACTATTGCACTCCCAGGTGATTCCAAGGCGGCGGGAGGCGGAGCGTGCAGCAGACGAGATGGAAGAACCTGAGCTCGAAGTACCATGGAAGGGGCCGTCATCAGAGGCAGAGAGGTACAGGGCAACTTCCGCAGGGGAGGGCAGGCGACCAAGACGAGAGGAGATGGTGAAGTGGATATCGTCTTTGGCGAGGGCTTGAACTGCTGGGTCACGGGAAGACAGTAGCTTGAAAGCAGTATCCACCAGCGCAATGTCGGAGTCCTCAGCTGCTAGAGGAATCCCATGGCAGGCGGCCTTGGCATCGCCGTAGAGAAAAACTCATTAGCAGCTTCAGATGGCAAGTAGAGTGTAGACTTGAACAAAGGCCGAAGGAAGTCGTCAAGTCGTGACCAGGTCCCTTTTTTATGTTTCCCAACTCGCATGTCGAAGGAGAGCGAGGGGAAGAAGAAAGATTTCATGGCATCAATCCTCTGCCATGGAGCGAGCATGGAGTCCATCAGAGACTTGCCAAATCGTCTGAAGGAGGCGGCGGCATCATCGTCGGCAGGCAGCTGGTATCCAATAGGTTTACCGAGAAACACTCCTGCGTCTCCGTCGTTCAGATGGGGAAAACTGGTACCAGCTATGCTAAAAGAGGTAGGGCGGGTACCAACAGGAGGAAGGCCCGATAAGTGCAGTGAGAAGCACTTGGTGACGTTAAAATGGAGATGTAACTGGGAGGCGACAGAATGCACGGTGTCAAGGTGTTCTTGCAGCGTAGCAGGCGAAGAGGCAAAGAGAAGGAAGTCATCAGCGTACGCAAGTATGCTGTGCTCAGTGGTGGAGCTGGAGATGGAACGCAGCACTGGATCAATGGCCAGGTTGAAGAGCAGAGACCGCTGAGTGGGCATCCCTGGCGTACACCTCTGGAGATCGGGATGGCATCGGTGAGGCCGTCGTGACACAGGAACTTCGTGGAAGAATCTGTGTAGAAGGACTTCACTAAGGAGAGAAGGGAGGGGCCAGCACCACTAGAGGCAAGAGCTTCGAAAAGAGAGCATTATGAGGTAGAGAGCCAAAAGCATTGCTTAAGTCGAGGGAAGCGATGCATAGGTCAGTCTTCCTCTTCTTGGCCAGACGGATCCGTTGCTCAACATGTATGTAGTTGTTCTCGAGTACCCCGTCATAAGGGAGAAAACCCTTTTGAGCAGGGGAGAGAACATCGTGCTCGATGAGCCAGGCAGAGAATCTTCTAGCAAGGCAGCCCGTGAATAGCTTTGGCAATTGTTGGAGCTCAAAGCAATAGGGCGCCAGTTGCGGAGGTCCTTTCTGTCTCCTTTCTTGAATATCAGGACAGAGGTCGTGTCCTTCCACATCTCAGGAACCTTTCCAGCCTTGAGGCAGATGTTGAAGATAAGGGAGAGAATATGGCCTTCAGGGTCAAGGGACTTCCAGTGTTGATAGGAAAGCCTATCTGGCCCAGGGGCGGAATTCTCACAGGCTCTCAGGCGAGTGGAAACTTCAGCAGGGCTGAAGGGAGAGAGGTCAACTTCTGGTCGAGTAGCAGCAGGCGAGTTGAAGATGGAGGCATTAGGCGACAGGAAGAGACGCAGGCGGGGAAGAAAAACTGACAATGTCCTCTCTGTCGATGGCGCAGAGTGGCGAGTCACCCTCGGTAATGAGTCGGACAGCTCTTCTCCGGTTCCTTCTGTAGAGGCGTTGAATCTCCTTTGCATTGTTGATAGATGGAGATTTCCGGGGTCGATAGGGAGAGGGCAGGCGGAAGTTTTACTATGTCCGAGGCAGCAGAGATGAGATCGTCTAGGCATTCTTCGAACATTCTCCAATTACGGGAGGGGTCAGAGGAGAAGATGTCGGAAAGCCGTGGACGGAAAGAGAGAAGCGGTGAGTCCAGTGAAGGAGGCTCGGCAAGGAAGGTTGTCCACACCGGGCTCGTCAGCAAACCCAGCGGGCGAGGAGGAGGCGGAGGCAGCCATGGATGCATCAGGTGGGGACTGGTGCTGGAAGACGGATGGCGCAGGAGAGCTAGAGTGAGACGAGCCAGGCGATGAAGATGAAGGCAGCTCAGGAGCAGGTAACCCAACAGGCGTGGCGTCATGTGCAGGTCGACGGCGACGGCGGCGGCGAGCAGGAGCAACAGTCGTCCACCCATCAGAGCCGTGAGGATTACGAGGAGGAGAAACCAAGGAAGCAGGAGCAGGAACATCAGGAGGTGCAGGAGGAAGAGGAGTTGTACGTGGCATACTGGTAGCATCGCATGGTGTGGAGCGAGGTGTAGCATCACAGGCGAGTAACGTCTGTGGAGATTCCACACTGCGAGGAGGAAATGAAGAAGGCGTGTGTGGCCGGGGCTGGCGGGCTGCAGGTTCCCGAGAGGCATTAGGAGGCGGAGGCTGAGAAACAGGTCGAAGGCGTTCCCTTTTGTGCCGGGCCTGATGATTGAGAAAACCTCCTCTCGTCTGGCAGGAGAAGTCGGCAGATGCGGCATTTCCATCTATGGGAAATACCAGACGGAAAGAGGGGAGGGCGGGTCTTGAAACACGGGTGGCACGAAACTTTCATGGCGATGGGTGAACTGCAGTGAGAACACCAGTTCTTGGTCCTGGAGACGTCGATCCCATGGGCATAATGAAGGTGCCGACATAGAGAGTGTCTCAACTGGGTCCATTGCCGGGAGTGGAAAGTCCTGAAGCAGTGTGGCTCGGTGCAGGGAAGAGTGTCCAGAACCGGAAATACAAGATGAACAATTGAGCCGCGACGACAAGACGAAGGAGGGATGTCACTGGCGGAGTCATCAGCCACAGAAGGAGGGCGGTCTGGGTGGACATCCTCAGGAGAATCAACGTGGGGAGGCGATGACAGGGTAGTAGTCGGCGCAGGCACGTCAGGCGTAGCAGGCTCAGAAGACAGAGGGGATGTGTCGATGCAGAGCACAGGCGAGGAGGAAGCAGAGGACATCGACGAGACTTCAGCGGAACACGTGGGAGGCAGGACAGGCTGAGGCGATGAAGGCAGAGGATTCCCAGGATGGACGTTGACCGATGTGTCTAGGGATCGGGTCTGCACAGCCGTGGTAGAAGGTAGGATCTCGCCGGGAGGAGGAAAAGTGATATCCGTGGCACAGGAATGGCCGGCGGCAAGACGAGCACGTGTGTGGTGTCCAACTGGTGAATCTGTCGTCGAAGCATCAGGGGCAATCTGAGAAGCCAATGAAGTAGATTCCTGAAGAGGAGGATGGAGTGGTGGCCGGATGTTATGAGTCCTGCGGTGTTCTTTAAGGCGACGACGCTGAGAGAATTTCCTGTTACAGATGTTGCAGGGAAACGAGGAGGCACCACTGGTGACGATGGCAGGATTCGTATCCGGTGAAGAAGAAGCGCAGAGGTAGAGGAGGTCTTGGACAGTACCACAGGAGCATGAGTCGCAGACGAAGAGCCAGGAGATGTAGAAATGTGTGAGACCCGAGACTTTGCAAGTGTTCTGGCGGTGATTTGGGCCAGCATCTGGTGCAGGGATCCACTTTGAGCATCGGAGGTCCAGTAGGCGTGGCAGACACAGACAGGTGCCGTCGTGGAGCGATGGGTCTGGAAGGTCCAGGAGCAGGCGTGGTCACCGGAGGACTGCAACCGGCAACAGATGAAGGGCGCGTCTCCAGGAAGGCATGCGTCTCCGGGCTACGGTGTACAGCAGGAAGTAGGCAAGGAAAGGAAGGCATAGGCGGCAGACCAGGTGTCGTGGGCGACGGGATCCGAGGCGGCCGTTCCATTCCAGGGAGGAAAGGCACTGACGAAGAAGCAGCAGACGGAGTTCCAGGCATCAGGTAGACCTAAGCAGGGAATACTACAAGAAAAAAAAACAAAAAACAAAGCACAGGTAAAAGTAAATGCAATCTGGCACTCTTGGCAAGATCAGATCAGGAGAGTAGGAGGTTGGAGCATCCAACAGGAACGTCGGTGGTTCTGGAAGAAAAAAAAAAAAAAAAAAACATGACCAAGGATAGGCGGAGAAAACTAGCGCGTGCAACTAGCCGATTTGGATGGAAATTGGTGTCAGGCTAAAGATACACTCAGCCGAGTGGCCTGTCTGCAAGGACACCAATGGAGGTAAGTCCCTGGACCCACGACGAAACTGGGGGTCGAGGCACCTACCGAGACTAAAAAAACGAAAGGAAGAACCGTTGACAGGAAAGCAAAGACGATGACCAGGACTTGGAAGATTACGCCCCACTAAAGGCCGCACCCAGCCGGGTGTCCTTTTCACATGGATGGGAGTAGTATATACCTGATTGCATCTGGATAGAATTTTACTCTCTTTAGTGGCGATGTTGGTTTTTTACTCTCTTTAGTGGCTATGGTGGCGATGGTGGCGATATGGTGGTTGGCTCTTTAGTGGCTATGGAGTCGATGGTGTGTAAGGAAACTTGATGTTGTCGGAGTTGAGTTAAAATATGTAATAATTTCAGATTATTATGATTTTGAAATGTTTAGTCATGTGTCATATATTTTTTTTTTTTTTGATTCCTACTTTTATGAAACGAAAGATATGCTTTTTATGATGTTTTGGTGTATATATATTGTTTACAGCTTTTTGTGTGAGCATATTGGCATAATAAGACATAGTTATATTTTCGATTCTTGGGAATGTTTTGGACAAATTGTTGATATGTTCATTGCTTGGCGTGCCAATATGCACATAAACTATTTCAAATATCAAATTTATGTGCATACTGACACGAAAAGAAACGCATATTTACTATGAATATTCTTCTTCTTCTTCTCTGAATATTTTGAGATTTTTTCGATATGGAGATATCTTCGTCTTGGATGGAGTGTTGATGTGTGCATTGCTTGGCGTGCCAGTACACACATAAACTATTTCAAATATCAAATTTATGTGTGTGTACTGACACGAAAAGAAACGCATATTAACTGTGAATATTCTTCTTCTCTCTGAATATTTTGAGATTTTTTCGATATGGAGATATACCTTCGTCTTGGGTGGAGTGTTGATGTGTGCATTGCTTGGCGTGCCAGTACGCACATAAACTATTTCAAATATCAAATTTATGTGTGTACTGACACGAAAAGAAACGCATATTAATTGTAGACATTCGTTGGGAAAACAAAATATCGCTTTTTTTTTGTTCTTTCTGATTTTTCCTTTTTCCATCTTCATGAAATCTTTCCGTATTCGCTCTGCAAAAAAAAAACATTTATTTTGATGTTTAAAAAAATGAGAAGGGAAAACAAAAATTTGACTGATGCATATTGAATAATATTTTTTTTATTTTGTACATATCATAGAAATATTAAAAAATGAGCAAATGCGTGAGATTTTCGGATCATGTCGATGTGATCTATATCCCCAAAAGTGAAGAACGAAGAGGTTTTTGGGAAATAGACGCTGAACGTTTTCGTCAAAGAATTGCGGAATTTGAAATACTTTTTAATAGACATGTTTTTGACATGCAGAAAGAAAAGAAGTGAAGAAATGTTCGAAAAAAAACACTATATTAATAAGGCGTAACGATTAGATAACCTGATTTTGACGAGTGCTTTTTAATTGATGAAGATGTCGAAAAACAGAAATGAATTGGGAAAATTTTGGGAAGGAAAATGAACTAAGCGAAGAGATTATTAGAGATTTACAGAACATGGTGAATTGGACGACTATTTCAAAATATCAGAAATTAAGTGAAAGTTTTATTCTTGAATTTCAACACCTTGTGGATTGGGATAACATTTCAGCATATCAAACTTTATCTCAATCATTTATTGAAGCCCACCAAGATGTCGTGAATTGGAAATTTATATCTAGATGTCAGTCTTTATCAGAAGATTTTATGGTTCAGTTTGCTCACAAAGTTGATTGGAAAGAAATTTCTCAGTATCAGGATTTGAGTGGAAAATTCATCAGAGATAATGCAGCAGTTTTGGATATGTCGCGTATTGCAAAATATCAAAAGCTGGATGAAGATACAATTGAGGAGCTAGAAGATGTCATTGACTGGAATCAAGTGCTAATTCATCAAGAAATATCAGAACAGTTTCTCAAGAAATATGCATAAAATATCTGAATGCGATGTAATACTAAACAAGCATTTTCTGAAAATGTAATAAATACGTTATACAAGCGATTGGTTTTAAAATATTTAGCACATATTTGCAAGAAATTGTAAGGGAAAAAAATGATTTTTGTGTTTTTTAATATAATTTTCATGAAATGTTTGGAGAAGGTTCATTTGAGTTGTTGCTGTCGTAATAGAAAGACTATAAAAATGAAGTGGACGTTACAAGATCGAAAAAAAATAATCTTAATTTGTCTCAGTGTTTGTATCATAGAAATTCTAATATACATATGTTTAAACTGTGTGGAAAGACAGAAAGAAGAGGAACGAAAAGTAGATTTGAACAAAACATCTTGCATATATTCTGAACATGTTGGGAGAAGAATATTTCTACATATTTGTATTAAGGATGGAAAAAGGATATATGATTTACGTTACTTTTGGAGAAATGAAACTGATTATTTGAAACCCGAAATTATTGGAGTACAGTTAAACCAAAATGAATTTAAGAAAGTTTGTTTATCAATGTAAACATGTAATCTAAAGAAAAAATAATAAAAAAGATATGGATAAATTGCAAAAAACTCTTGTGTTGTTTCTCTTTACTTTCTTCTATCTTTATTTATTTTGAAAAAGCACACTTTTCATTCTACAGTTAACATTTTTTTTTAAATTGTATGTTTATTTTTTTTTTCCTAAAAAAATTCGAAAAACCTATACAATCAAATAGTCAATAAGGAATGAGGATCTGAAACATTTTTTTTTCAAAATAGAGAAATCCACAGCGATAAAAACACAGATATAACAACAAAAAATTTATTTATTCGAGGAACATTATGCGGAGATGAGATACATTACCTTCCGTTGTTGTTAAACGGTATTAAAACAATTTATTAAAAAATAAAATAAAACTTATAAAAAAAACTGTTGAGAAGATGTTCGCAAAAAGTTGAAAACATCCAAGTTCATGTTTGATTGTTGTCGGACCGAAGTCAATCTGGAAAAACATCACTAGTTCGAACAAATGATAAAAAATAATATCTTCGATATTCCGAAACAAAACAATTAAATGTGGTGTTATTCATATAGTGCACCATGGTTTCTAGAAGAACCAAATATTGAATTTATACACGGGTTGCCCAGAAGTATATGAAAATGGAGATTTGATAATCATAGATGATTTAATGCATCGATTAAATGAAAAAATTGCAGATTTATTCACAGCCGCATCTCATCATTGCAATATCAAGTGTAATACTAATACTACAAAATTTATTTCCTCGGTTTAAAAGTTATGAGAGACATTAGTCTTAATTCTCATTACATTATTTTATTTAAAAATGCAAGAGATATGAGTCCAAATTAATTGTCTAGGAAGACAAATATATCCACGTAATTCACAATTTTTATTGGATGCTTATATAAAAAGCTACTACTGCTGAACCATATAAATATTTAGTTATTGATTTACATCCCGAGACGGAGGAAGAGTATCGTCTGCGAGGGAATTTATTTCCTACTAATGAAGGAGTTTTTTGGATTTACCGTCCAAAATGAAAATGAATTTGAAAAAGAACTATCATTTTCTGCAAGTGTTAGCCAAATCATCTCCTAATCAAAAACGAGCCTTACTGAGAACTGCAAATAACGCACAAATCGCTTCTTTGTGTGAAATTTGTTTAAACATTTTAGCTGGACATCTTCCTGTAAACGTAAAAAAAACTTCAAAAATATAAAAATATCGTGAGAAGATTGGCCAAACGAACGTCTTCGATTCAAAGTAAAAAAAGACTTTTAATAAATCAGACTGGTGGTTTTCTTGCCGCTGATAGCTCCTGCTATCAATTTCTTGCTTTAGCTGGTATTGCTGGAAGTAAAAGCTATTGGTAAAAGAATAATTTTTTTTTTGAAAAATTTATTAACATATTTGAACAAACACTGTAAGCAAAAAAAAAAATTTCATGATATACATTATTAGAGTTTAAAAAAAAGAAAAGGATATCATGGCGAGAAATGTAGCACTTATTCCTGAAAGAGTTGGTTTCATCGTATCATTTGCACAAGCCAAAAATTCGCATTGAGGATGATGTTGAAACTTTGTTAGAGAAGAAACAAATTACAGAGATGATATGAAAGTAAAATTATTAAGTCAACTTATCACTCGCTATCAAAAAACTATTCGTATGCCCGCAAATCCAGTGCGGGTAAGCAGTACTAATGAACAACTACTAGATGATGAGAAGGGAGATAAAAAGAGAACATTTGAAAGAGGATTACGACAACGATCCCAAGATGGTGAAAGATATCGTGGTTTTCATCACCCCTCATCAGTATTCCAAATATGTACCGCTGATTGTTGAAAAACTTAAAACAAGACAATATTACTGGAATGAAAAAGGGAGAATTCACCCATGGTGGTATTCCTGTCAGGAGACAGCAGAATAGCTGATTTCTTCTTCCTATATGTGTCGAAATAGAAAATCTCAAACTGAAACCCGAACATTTTAGGTGAATTTTTAAACGCTATTAAAGAAATAAATATTCTCCTCTGTCTTGGATAGGAAATAAAAAATTAGTATCGAAGTTGCGTGAAACAAAAAGCGAACTATTAACACGAGAGAAAAAGAGAAGTGAAGAAATTTTGCAAGAATCGGAAAGTAGAAAATTAAAATGAGAGAAGAGACTCGAAAGTCATTCCTTCACTTGTTTGGACCCTATTCAAGAGCATGGAAAGCTCGCGATCAAAAACC